CTGATGAGAAGGGTACACACACACACACACACTCACACACACACACACACACCAGCGCCGCTTACAACGGGCCCACGCTGGTCCTGCAGGAGTTCGAGTCGCTGATGAGAAGGGTACACACACACTCTCACACACACACACACACACACACACACACACACACACACACACTCACACACACACACACACACACACTCACACACACACACACACACACACTCACACTCACACTCAAGCCGGCACTATAGTTGAGCTGATTCTGTGTTGGTGAGAAACACACTCCACCTCGGTCCATCACTGCTGAGGTCATCGCTGGAAGAGGGTGTTTCTACACACCACTGGACTCAGATCTCCAGGGAATACACTGATCTCACACACACGTCAGCGGGACAAAGCACAATCTGCTGTTTTGTGCAGTTGACAATTGTAAAAATAAATAAAAACTACCTGAAATGCACCTTGAGATGAAGCTCACTCTTGTGTAGAGACTTTTGTTTTCTAGAATAGTGTAGAACAAAGACTTCATCACACACTTATTCACACACTTTATCACACTGATGCGAACAGCAGCTCATGCCACAGCCAATGATGTCACTGCACTGACATGTGTTATTCCATCATGTGATGTGGCCTTTGCCTGAGTGTTTCTCCATCTGGTCAGATAGTCACACACACTAATCTGGGTTCAGTCGTCACACACACTGATCTGGGGTCAGTCGTCACACACACTGATCTGGGGTCAGTCGTCACATACACTGATCTGGGTTCAGTCGTCACACACACTGATCTGGGTTCAGCCGTCACACACACTGATCTGGGTTCAGTCGTCACACAGACTGATCTGGGTTCAGTCGTCACACACACTGATCTGGGTTCAGTCGTCACACACACTGATCTGGGTTCAGCCGTCACACACACTGATCTGGGTTCAGCCGTCACACACACTGATCTGGGTTCAGTCGTCACACACACTGATCTGGGTTCAGCCGTCACACACTGATCTGGGTTCAGTCGTCACACACACTGATCTGGGTTCAGTCGTCACACACACTGATCTGGGTTCAGCCGTCACAGCCGTCACACACTGATCTGGGTTCAGTCGTCACACACACTGATCTGGGTTCAGCCGTCACACACACTGATCTGGGTTCAGTCGTCACACACACTGATCTGGGTTCAGTCGTCACACACACTGATCTGGGTTCAGCCGTCACACACACTGATCTGGGTTCAGTCGTCACACACACTGATCTGGGTTCAGTCGTCACACACACTGATCTGGGTTCAGCCGTCACACACACTGATCTGGATTCAGCCGTCACACACACTGATCTGGGTTCAGTCGTCACACACACTGATCTGGGTTCAGCCGTCACACACACTGATCTGGGTTCAGCCGTCACACACACTGATCTGGGTTCAGTCGTCACACACACTGATCTGGGTTCAGCCGTCACACACACTGATCTGGGTTCAGTCGTCACACACACTGATCTGGGTTCAGCCGTCACACACTGATCTGGGGTCAGTCGTCACACACACTGATCTGGGTTCAGTCGTCACACACACTGATCTGGGTTCAGCCGTCACACACTGATCTGGGGTCAGTCGTCACACACACTGATCTGGGTTCAGTCGTCACACACACTGATCTGGGTTCAGCCGTCACACACTGATCTGGGTTCAGTCGTCACACACACTGATCTGGGTTCAGTCGTCACACACACTGATCTGGGTTCAGCCGTCACAGCCGTCACACACTGATCTGGGTTCAGTCGTCACACACACTGATCTGGGTTCAGCCGTCACACACTGATCTGGGTTCAGTCGTCACACACACTGATCTGGATTCAGCCGTCACACACACTGATCTGGGTTCAGTCGTCACACACACTGATCTGGGTTCAGCCGTCACACACTGAACTGGGTTCAGTCGTCACACACAGCCTGATCCAGCACTGATCTGGGTTCAGTCGTCAAACACACTGATCTGGGTTCAGCCGTCACACACACTGATCTGGGTTCAGTCGTCACACATAGCCTGATCCAGCACTGATCTGGGTTCAGTCGTCACACACACTGATCTGGGTTCAGCCGTCACACACACTGATCTGGGTTCAGTCGTCACACACACTGATCTGGTTCAGCCATCACACACTGATCTGGGTTCAGTCGTCACACACAGCCTGATCCAGCACTGATCTGGGTTCAGTCGTCACACACACTGATCTGGGTTCAGCCGTCACACACACTGATCTGGGTTCAGTCGTCACACACACTGATCTGGGTTCAGTCGTCACACACACTGATCTGGTTCAGCCATCACACACTGATCTGGGTTCAGTCGTCACACACAGCCTGATCCAGCACTGATCTGGGTTCAGTCGTCACACACACTGATCTGGGTTCAGCCGTCACACGCACTGATCTGGGTTCAGCCGTCACACACTGATCTGGGTTCAGTCGTCACACACACTGATCTGGGTTCAGTCGTCACACACACTGATCTGGGTTCAGCCATCACACACTGATCTGGGTTCAGTCGTCACACACAGCCTGATCCAGCACTGATCTGGGTTCAGTCGTCACACATACTGATCTGGGTTCAGCCGTCACACACACTGATCTGGTTCAGCCATCACACACTGATCTGGGTTCAGTCGTCACACACAGCCTGATCCAGCACTGATCTGGGTTCAGTCGTCACACACACTGATCTGGGTTCAGTCGTCACACACACTGATCTGGGTTCAGTCGTCACACACACTGATCTGGGTTCAGTCGTCACACATACTGATCTGGGTTCAGCCGTCACACACACTGATCTGGTTCAGCCATCACACACTGATCTGGGTTCAGTCGTCACACACAGCCTGATCCAGCACTGATCTGGGTTCAGTCGTCACACACACTGATCTGGGTTCAGTCGTCACACACACTGATCTGGGTTCAGTCGTCACACACACTGATCTGGTTCAGCCATCACACACTGATCTGGGTTCAGTCGTCACACACACTGATCTGGGTTCAGTCGTCACACACACTGATCTGGGTTCAGCCGTCACACGCACTGATCTGGGTTCAGCCGTCACACACTGATCTGGGTTCAGTCGTCACACACACTAATCTGGGTTCAGTCGTCACACACACTGATCTTGGTTCAGCCATCACACACTGATCTGGGTTCAGTCGTCACACACAGCCTGATCCAGCACTGATCTGGGTTAAGTCGTCACACATACTGATCTGGGTTCAGCCGTCACACACACTGATCTGGGTTCAGCCGGTACACACAGCCTGATCCAGCACTGATCTGGGTTCAGTCGTCACACATACTGATCTGGGTTCAGCCGTCACACACACTGATCTGGTTCAGCCATCACACACTGATCTGGGTTCAGTCGTCACACACACTGATCTGGGTTCAGTCGTCACACACACTGATCTGGGTTCAGTCGTCACACACACTGATCTGGTTCAGCCATCACACACTGATCTGGGTTCAGTCGTCACACACAGCCTGATCCAGCACTGATCTGGGTTCAGTCGTCACACACACTGATCTGGGTTCAGCCGTCACACGCACTGATCTGGGTTCAGCCGTCACACACTGATCTGGGTTCAGTCGTCACACACACTGATCTGGGTTCAGCCATCACACACTGATCTGGGTTCAGTCGTCACACACAGCCTGATCCAGCACTGATCTGGGTTCAGTCGTCACACATACTGATCTGGGTTCAGTCGTCACACACACTGATCTGGGTTCAGCCGTCACACACACTGATCTGGGTTCAGCCGTCACACACACTGATCTGGGTTCAGCCATCACACACTGATTTGGGTTCAGTCGTCACACACAGCCTGATCCAGCACTGATCTGGGTTCAGTCGTCACACACACTGATCTGGGTTCAGCCATCACACACTGATCTGGGTTCAGTCGTCACACACAGCCTGATCCAGCACTGATCTGGGTTCAGTCGTCACACACACTGATCTGGGTTCAGGTGTCACACACACTGATCTGGGTTCAGTCGTCACACACACTGATCTGGGTTCAGCCGTCACACACACTGATCTGGGTTCAGTCGTCACACACACTGATCTCAGCCGTCACACACTGATCTGGGTTCAGCCGTCACACTCTGATCTGGGTTCAGTCATCACACACACTGATCTGGATTCAGCCGTCACACACACTGATCTGGGTTCAGTCATCACACACACTGATCTGGGTTCAGCCGTCACACACTGAACTGGGTTCAGTCGTCACACACACTGATCTGGGTTCAGTCGTCACACACACTGATCTGGGTTCAGCCGTCACACACACTGATCTGGGTTCAGCCGTCACACACACTGATCTGGGTTCAGCCGTCACACACACTGATCTGGGTTCAGCCGTCACACACACTGATCTGGGTTCAGCCGTCACACACACTGATCTGGGTTCAGCCGTCACACACACTGATCTGGGTTCAGTCGTCACACACACTGATCTGGGTTCAGTCGTCACACACACTGATCTGGGTTCAGTCGTCACACACACTGATCTGGGTTCAGTCGTCACACACACTGATCTGGGTTCAGCCGTCACACGCACTGATCTGGGTTCAGCCGTCACACACTGATCTGGGTTCAGTCGTCACACACACTGATCTGGGTTCAGTCGTCACACACACTGATCTGGGTTCAGCCATCACACACTGATCTGGGTTCAGTCGTCACACACAGCCTGATCCAGCACTGATCTGGGTTCAGTCGTCACACACACTGATCTGGGTTCAGCCGTCACACACTGATCTGGGTTCAGTCGTCACACACACTGATCTGGGTTCAGCCGTCACACACTGATCTGGGTTCAGTCGTCACACACACACTGATCTGGGTTCAGCCGTCACACACTGATCTGGGTTCAGTTGTCACACACACTGATCTGGGTTCAGCCGTCACACACACTGATCTGGGTTCAGTCGTCACACACACTGATCTCAGCCGTCACACACTGATCTGGGTTCAGCCGTCACACACTGATCTGGGTTCAGTCGTCACACACACTGATCTGGATTCAGCCGTCACACACACTGATCTGGGTTCAGCCGTCACACACACTGATCTGGGTTCAGTCGTCACACACACTGATCTGGGTTCAGCCGTCACACACACTGATCTGGGTTCAGCCGTCACACACACTGATCTGGGTTCAGCCATCACACACTGATTTGGGTTCAGTCGTCACACACAGCCTGATCCAGCACTGATCTGGGTTCAGTCGTCAAACACACTGATCTGGGTTCAGCCATCACACACTGATCTGGGTTCAGTCGTCACACACAGCCTGATCCAGCACTGATCTGGGTTCAGTCGTCACACACACTGATCTGGGTTCAGGTGTCACACACACTGATCTGGGTTCAGTCGTCACACACACTGATCTGGGTTCAGCCGTCACACACACTGATCTGGGTTCAGTCGTCACACACACTGATCTCAGCCGTCACACACTGATCTGGGTTCAGCCGTCACACTCTGATCTGGGTTCAGTCATCACACACACTGATCTGGATTCAGCCGTCACACACACTGATCTGGGTTCAGTCGTCACACACACTGATCTGGGTTCAGCCGTCACACACTGAACTGGGTTCAGTCGTCACACACACTGATCTGGGTTCAGTCGTCACACACACTGATCTGGGTTCAGCCGTCACACACACTGATCTGGGTTCAGCCGTCACACACACTGATCTGGGTTCAGCCGTCACACACACTGATCTGGGTTCAGCCGTCACACACACTGATCTGGGTTCAGCCATCACACACTGATCTGGGTTCAGTCGTCACACACAGCCTGATCCAGCACTGATCTGGGTTCAGTCGTCACACACACTGATCTGGGTTCAGCCGTCACACACACTGATCTGGGTTCAGCCGTCACCCACTGATCTGGGTTCAGTCGTCACACACACTGATCTGGGTTCAGCCGTCACACACACTGATCTGGGTTCAGTCGTCACACACACTGATCTGGGTTCAGTCGTCACACACACTGATCTGGGTTCAGTCGTCACACACACTGATCTGGGTTCAGTCGTCACACACACTGATCTGGGTTCAGCTGTCACACACACTGATCTGGGTTCAGTCGTCACACACACTGATCTGGGTTCAGTCGTCACAAACACTGATCTGGGTTCAGTCGTCACACACACTGATCTGGGTTCAGTCGTCACACACACTGATCTGGGTTCAGCCGTCACACACACTGATCTGGGTTCAGTCGTCACACACACTGATCTGGGTTCAGCCGTCACACACTGATCTGGGTTCAGTCGTCACACACACTGATCTGGGTTCAGTCGTCACACACTGATCTGGGTTCAGCCGTCACACACACTGATCTGGGTTCAGCCATCACACACTGATCTGGGTTCAGTCGTCACACACACTGATCTGGGTTCAGTCGTCACACACTGATCTGGGTTCAGTCGTCACACACACTGATCTGGGTTCAGTCGTCACACACACTGATCTGGGTTCAGCCATCACACACTGATCTGGGTTCAGTCGTCACACACACTGATCTGGGTTCAGTCGTCACACACACTGATCTGGGTTCAGTCGTCACACACACTGATCTGGGTTCAGTCGTCACACACACTGATCTGGGTTCAGTCGTCACACACTGATCTGGGTTCAGTCGTCACACACACTGATCTGGGTTCAGTCGTCACACACTGATCTGGGTTCAGTCGTCACACACACTGATCTGGGTTCAGCCGTCACACACTGATCTGGGTTCAGTCGTCACACACACTGATCTGGGTTCAGTCGTCACACACACTGATCTGGGTTCAGTCGTCACACACACAGCTTACGGTTTTTGTCTACTATATAGCAGGGAAGTGTGTCATTTCGGACTTAGCCTTATAGTGGGATTTAGATTCATCGAGTGACTTGAATCTTTTAAATCCATTCGAAAAACTATTTGTTCTTCAAGTGATTTAGTGACTCTTTCTATACATTATAAAGTCAGTATCTTTGTGTCGATTATAAGTCACTGAATCGTTCACTTAGTAGATTAACTGAATCATAAGCTCACTCGTGTGGCGAAGCTCATTCCAAACATCAAAACCCCACTTGTAGAAACCTCCGATTGCAAACCTGTGATGATGATGTGTGTGTGTGTGTGTGTGTGTGTGATGATGATGATGTGTGTGTGTTTGTGTGTGATGATGATGATGATGATGTGTGTGTGTGATGATGATGATGTTGTGTGTGTGTGTGTGTGTGTGTGTGTGCGCGCAGGAGCTGGACAGCCCGCAGCGCAGCGTCAGGGACAGTGGGTACATCGACTGCTGTGAGTCGGAGCGCAGCCACTCTCTCTCCCCGCCGAGACACACACGAGACGACTCGTTCGACAGCCTGGACTCCATCGGCTCGCACTCCCGCCACACTCCCTCGCCCGACGGCCTGCTCGGCCTCGGCTACAGCGATGGTGAGCCTCACGCGCACACAACATGGCCTGACCTGGGCTTTGAGCAGTCAATGGGTTCAAATTTGACAACCAGTCACATCTTGGAGTATTAGGGTTGTGTGAAATGGAAGAGTAAACGAGGAAGCCCGTTAGAAAGACCAGCTGACCCGATGTCTGTCAGCTTGAGTGAAGGGAGCGAGGACTCAAACGTAGTAGTATTTTAAATTTGTCAGTATTTGTTTACTTTTTATACACTTGTTTCATTGCATTTACATTTCAGGGCTGATAAAGAAAAAATGTCAGAGAGGCTTATTTTTATTATTTAAAATGATTGGTAAGACTTTACATCATTTGCACTGCGAGGGCTTTGTTTGCACAAAAAAAAAACAACATAATTTACTGGTTAATGTACAGAATATTACAAAATAACATGTATTACTGTAATGACGTCTTTCCTGCCACTCTGGGCTTGACAGTGGTAGTTGCGGAGAGTGTCAATGGAGGGACAACTATCCGCTAATGTTGCTGTTGCCTACATTATATAACTCGAGTCAGATTATGATTATTCAAATCACAGCTTGTCATCTAAATATTAGCACAACTGTTCTTTCAATGAGCTATTTTGCTAATATTTTGTTTCATGCATGAATATAATTTTTGTGTATGATGATATATATGCATGAAACTAAATATTAGCTCATCGCTCATCTTCCCACAGGTTGTGTGAGTCGGCCGAGCTGAGTGTGCAACTGATGGGATATCAGGGCAGGGGGCGTGGCTTATGGCTTGCTCCGCCCACGGGGAGGGGCCACACTTTAAATGATGTGTTTACAATCAGTAACTAAAAACTGATAAATCTGGTGAAATTTGAATTAAAAATCCAGTCTCTTTTTTTGAAGTGAACTGTAATGCTTTATTCATGTGTGCGATTGGCCGAGGCTGACACAGTGTGACATCATGGGGTTCGGTCCGTGTGGTTTCATTGGCCTCGCAGAAAGGGTTTCTGTCACCTTGGTTACAGACTTATTGCAGCCTTTCCTAATAAAATAGAGAGAGGAGAACACCATATCATTGTTGCACTTAATATATATCAGGATAGTAAAAGAAAAAAGAGATTGAAAATCATTTGACACAAAACCATGTTTATCCATTGTGCAAATTAACCCTCATTTAATGTAGTCTTGGTCCTATTTTCGAGTTTAATTGGATGTACGGCTTTTGACATAAACGACTAAATATATAGACAGTGTTTCTTCCATTTTAAAAGTAGGTTTAAAAGCCTGTTTATGTTGCTATCTTAACACTTAACTGCTCTAAAGTGGTTCGCTCGTTGCACTGTATTATTTGCATTTCAGGACAGACGCTCAGCCCAGTTTGGGTGCAGTGTTATCCTTCATATGCAAACACACATGCAAATACACACACACACTCTCACAGCAGTAATGTTTTAAACATCCTCATATAATCAGAGTCTACTGCACTCGTGGGTTGAGTAAAAGTGGACGTTTTAAACACTTAAATCAAACTTGGAACAGCCTGAGAATAAACAGGAAAACACAAATGCATTTCTCCAGTCAAAAACCTTTATTTCACAGTTTCCCACAAATCCATCTCGGTCCCTAGAGCTTCTAGAAGAGATTCAGTTTTAGTATTAGATTGTTCTTTTCTAGGGAAATTGTGAATGAGTGCCAGAGACTTTATCCCAGAATGCAGTGCTCAGTAATGGGTCTGACAGGAGACCGACGAGCAAAGCCATGTGCGTTCAGTACAGTAGTTCTGTCAGGATCACTACTGTCAAAGATGATTGAGCATTAGCATACAGTTACAGACGGGTAAGAGCAGCCAGCGCAGGGATAAACTGAACACAACACACATTCATGTATCACATGTTGCTAAAGTCAAGAGAGATGCCAGTGTGATTGGCAGAGGAGTATCAGCAGACTGTGGCGGACAGGTGGAGCTGGGGATGGAGGAGGGGATGATCTCCTGCTGCTGATAATCCGGGATGGACTAACACACACGACTAGCATGTCCTGCCAGAACTGAAGGCATTCGCTTGATATCTTAAAGACCGAGTTTGACATTATTGTGTGGGCAAAAATAACGATTTTAGGGCTTAGTATCGCCAACTATCTCGTGATATAATACATGACACACGTCATGTTTTAATTGTGATTTAAACTGCACCAGATGCTCCTCATCTTCCACAGCTCAGTGAAACAGATAGTGCCGCCAATAGTTCAGCCAATGGTGTGAGTTTGAGTGTGATTTAGAAATCACCCCCACTTATAACTGATGTGCTTTTAGTGTACTGTGGAGTGGGTAAAACTGTTTTAATGGCAGGCTAAAACTGGTACCATTGATTCGCGCTAGCCTAGCACCGGCCAACTACGCAACTGGGACGACTGGATGATTTTTTTTTTTAAATGTCTCTACTGATAAATAACACTAAGGCTCACTTGTAAATGAGGCCCGATGTCCAAAATTCCGAACCACCCCTTTAAAGAAAAATCAGTTGATGCCTTTTTTTTTTTTGGTGACATTTTTAGAGTACAATATTAAAAGTGCACTATGTAACTTTTTCTTGTTTAACTCTTTCCCCGCCATTGACGGAATTTTCCGTGTTTTGCATGTTCAAATATTCATACAACAAAATATTCTGGGGCCATGAAAGTTTTACGAAAATTATAAAAAATTCTGGCGCTGGCAACTTTTTTCAGAAATGTTGGCGGGGAAAGAGTTAAAATGAACAAAATGTAAAAAAGTCAATACATTATCAATCCTTCTTCCAACAGTTCTTTTTCTCTTACCCTGATTTATTATGGTAAGCCTATTAGAAGTGTTTATATTTTAGACCTGTCAGGATGGCTTTCACAGTAAATTGCGTACGTGTCACTCGTCTCGTCATATCCGTAAATAGAGTAAAGTAGCTCAGGCTGCTTTACTGTGTGTGCGTGTGTGTGTGTGTGTGTGTGTGTGTGTGTGTGTACATTTGAAATGTAAAACCGACGTGGAGATGATGGTGTTTTATTGAACAGATAAACTGTCATAAGTGTCTCTAACAGAGTTCACTGTAAAGCATTCTCTATTGTGAAGATCATTTCATCATGGTTGTTGCGTTGGAGTTTATCCTCAGGGAAGTAGCGTAGGCTACATCAGGCTACATCAGACTGCATCAGACTACATCAGACTACATCAGACTACATCAGACTACATCAGACTACATCAGGCTACATCAGACTACATCAGACTACATCAGGCTACATCAGACTACATCAGACTACATCAGACTACATCAGGCTACATCAGACTACATCAGACTACATCAGGCTACATCAGGCTACATCAGACTACATCAGACTACATCAGACTACATCAGACTACATCAGGCTACATCAGACTACATCAGACTACATCAGGCTACATCAGACTACATCAGACTACATCAGGCTACATCAGACTACATCAGACTACATCAGGCTACATCAGGCTACATCAGACTACATCAGACTACATCAGACTACATCAGACTACATCAGGCTACATCAGACTACATCAGACTACATCAGGCTACATCAGACTACATCAGACTACATCAGGCTACATCAGGCTACATCAGACTACATCAGACTACATCAGGCTACATCAGACTACATCAGACTACATCAGACTGCATCAGGCTACATCAGGCTACATCAGACTACATCAGGCTACATCAGGCTACATCAGACTACATCAGACTACATCAGACTGCATCAGGCTACATCAGACTACATCAGACTACATCAGGCTACATCAGACTACATCAGACTACATCAGACTACATCAGACTACATCAGACTGCATCAGGCTACATCAGACTACATCAGACTACATCAGACTGCATCAGACTACATCAGACTACATCAGGCTACATCAGGCTACATCAGACTACATCAGGCTACATCAGGCTACATCAGGCTACATCAGGGTACATCAGACTACATCAGACTGCATCAGACTGCATCAGACTACATCAGACTACATCAGGCTACATCAGGCTACATCAGACTACATCAGGCTACATCAGACTACATCAGACTACATCAGGCTACATCAGGCTACATCAGACTACATCAGACTACATCAGGCTACATCAGGCTACATCAGACTACATCAGACTACATCAGACTGCATCAGGCTACATCAGACTACATCAGACTACATCAGGCTACATCAGACTACATCAGACTACATCAGACTACATCAGGCTACATCAGACTACATCAGACTACATCAGGCTACATCAGACTACATCAGGCTACATCAGACTACATCAGGCTACATCAGACTACATCAGGCTACATCAGACTACATCAGACTACATCAGGCTACATCAGGCTACATCAGACTACATCAGACTACATCAGGCTACATCAGACTACATCAGACTACATCAGACTACATCAGGCTACATCAGGCTACATCAGACTACATCAGGCTACATCAGACTACATCAGGCTACATCAGGCTACATCAGACTACATTAGACTACATCAGACTACATCAGGCTACATCAGACTACATCAGACTGCATCAGGCTACATCAGGCTACATCAGACTGCATCAGACTACATCAGGCTACATCAGACTACATCAGGCTACATCAGACTACATCAGGCTACATCAGACTACATCAGACTACATCAGGCTACATCAGACTACATCAGACTGTATCAGGCTACATCAGACTACATCAGGCTACATCAGACTACATCAGACTACATCAGGCTACATCAGACTACATCAGACTACATCAGGCTACATCAGACTGCATCAGGCTACATCAGACTACATCAGGCTACATCAGACTACATCAGACTACATCTGGCTACATCAGACTACATCAGACTACATCAGGCTACATCAGACTGCATCAGGCTACATCAGAATACATCAGACTACAATAGGCTACATCTGATTACATCAGGCTACATCAGACTACATCAGGCTACATCAGACTACATCAGACTGCATCAGAC